ATTTTTTAGGGATCCCTGTGTGGCTTTTTCCTAAAATCTCATCGCTGCTCTTGCACTGTTTTACTGCATAGGGAAGTGGGTTTGAATTTGGCTAATTTTTAATAGTTGAATTAACTAAAATAAGCTACCTTTTCTGGTCAGAAAGAATATTTTGCTCTGGTTTACCTGTAGTCTTATTTGTCTTTATCTTCCACTCTGTGAAGTAATGTACTAAACAGTATTCCTGGGGGTAGTTTATTTATACATATCTTGGGGAAGCAAAGCACTTTGCTTGGTGAGACATCCTGTCAGGGTGTGGAGTAGGATGGTACTCTGTTGGCATTAGTGAGTCCAAACCTGTGTAAAGCTTTTCAAAGTTAGAAAGCACAAGCTTTGCTTGTAAAAAGAGAAAATAAAGAGAAGAAGAGGCACTGTTTGGATTTGTTGGGTGGAAAAACACCTTTCTAGGGACAAAAATGGGGTTATTGCTGCACCAGCCCTGACACTGTAATCGAGGCAGTTTGCACAGTGACAGCAGGTTTTGCAGCAACTCGTGCCCTCTGGTGTCCAAAAGCAGCTTGTTCCTGCTCAGGCAGATTTGTTACTCCAACCAAACAGCTTGGCTTGTGTTGCTAAGTGTGTGTTTTCAGGGCTTGCTGCCTGTCCTGTGACACTGCCTTCATTACCAGCGGTATAATTGTTTATCACAGAGTGATTTGTCATCAATATTGCAGCCAGTCTGAGTCACAGAGATTTAAAGCCTCTCTAGAGGAAAGGAGCTCTGCTGCATCGAGTCATCTGTTGATTTTCCCATTTTTCCCTGTCCCAGGTGGAGCGTCCTCCCTCTCCCTTCTCCGTGGCTCCACAGGCTGCCCTTCCTCCCGTGCCACCACGACTGGATCTCCTGCAGCAGCGAGTGTCCAACCCCCCCGGGGCTTCCAGCCCTGGCACCACTTCCAAGGTCAAACACACCTTTTGCCCTTTCAGCTCTGATTTTTCAGGGAGAACAGCATAAAGAACTTTTCTTCACGATTTTTTTCCATCGAGCATTTTATTCAGATAAAAAAACTAAAGAATTAAGTGTGTGTGGCTGGGAGGAGTGAACTGGCTTTGTGCTTGATCAGCAGGAGGCAGTAGGATGATCTTGGTGGCATTTGTTTGTTGCTTGTTGAGATACAGCAGCAGTTCTTCATCTGGTTTGGATGAAGTAATGAAATTATGAAAGTCCAGGCAGAAGAAAAGATCTATTTTTAAGAATATTCATTGCTGACTGCTGGCTGTTAACTTGTATAAATAACCCACAACTGAATCGCTTTTTTAATGATTTGGTAGGCTTTGTTTGGAATCCCATCTAATGCTGCTGTGAGCTCTTGTTCTCCTCCAAGAGAAAGAATCTGGGGTGTTTGGGGTGTAGTGCACGTAGTTGCTGTGTTATCTCTTCGAGCCTGTGGAGAAGGTGTGGACATATCTCCACATCCCCTGAGATAACTCCTTGTAAAAACAGATAAAAAAAACCCCAAACCAAAACTCTCCCTCCCGTTTATCTTTTATGGCTGGGCCTACCTGTGTTAAGCAATATCTTGCATTTTTGTGCCCTGCAGGCCGCCCCTGGTGCTCTCCACAAGGACAAACCTCTGCCGATCCCCCCCACGCTCCGAGACCTCCCCCCGCCGCCGCCTCCGGACCGGCCGCATTCCATGGGGAACGAGGGGCGCCCTCAGAGGAGACCCCTGCCCTGCACCCCGGGGGACAAACCCCCCCCGGTGCCCTCCAACCGTCAGGGGGACCTGTGGCCGTCCAGACCCATCCCCAAAGCCCCCCCTGTGGCCGTGAGCCCTGGGGACCCCTGGGCTGGCAGAGAACTGTCCAACAGGCACTCGCTTCCCTTCTCCCTGCCCTCCCAGATGGACTCCAGGGCTGACAGCCACCGGCTCGGGAGCACCCTCAGCCTGGACAACCCAGGGGTGAGTAGACCTGGCGGAGCTGGGGGTGATCTGTGAGAAAATCAGCCTTCCAAGGTGCCCTCTGCTCACGCTGAACGGTGTGATCCTGTGCCAGGGGAGAGATGGGAAGGGACTGGTGGATGCCAGGCATGGGGGGACTTCTTAGGGAAGTGCTTTCGTGCCTCTTGGGGGCAAGGCTGAAGTGCCAGTTTCAGATGCATGATCACTGTTCCCCTTTCAGTTTTGGAAGGCTGAGAATGCTCTCCATTGGGAGCTGGTGTGCTGAAAAAGCCTGATTTACTCTGCTGGTTTTTGAGCCCTGAAAAGCCTGCACAAAATAGCTGTGATGGATTGAACACAGTAAAATCTGAGTTTAGTTTGGATCTGTTAATGCACTGGGCACTGTTACCAGTGGAGCTGAGGAGTCTCTATTGTTCTCAAAAAAAAATTGCAGGCAGTTTTGCTTTCCTCGATTCCATTTCCTTAATTTTTCCTTTTAATATCTCCAGCTCTCTAAAATAGAAAGCAAGGACGTTTTTAGCCAGATTGTCTAGGAAAATGACACTTGCACAGTTGCCACCCTGTCTGCCTGTGTATGTGCTTGTCTACATCCTTTTCCTCTTGTCCCCCATTTTTGGCCTATTTCAGCTGAATTTACCAAGGCCATTGGAATCTCAAAAGATAGGAAGTTCCTCCTGCAGGAAAGTCCCTGCTTGTGTCCTCACTGAGAGAAAACTGTCACAGAAGTCCTGGATTTCTAAGTAAATGCTTTGGAATAAGTGAAGATGCTTCATTCCCTCAGGGGATTTGCTGAATGACTGGCTTTGCAGCTGCACTGGTATTTGTGGTGTTTCTGATTCCTCTTTGGAATTCTTTTCTTTCAGAGCTCCAACAGTGGTCCAGCAGCAACCTCAGAGTGTGAACACCCCAAAATTAAACCCTCCTCGTCTGCCAATGCCATCTACTCCTTAGCTGTCAGGTCTCTTGTTTTCTTTTATAATTTACAGAGTGGTGCTGGTGCCAGGGGCAGAATTTGACACAACTCTGTCAGCCTTCATTTCATTCCTGACAGACTCAAAACACACAGTCTGGGGAAAGCAGATGAAAGCAGATCCCAGAGAACTGTGGGGAGTGGTGCTAGTTCCCCTTGGCTGTGGCAGTAGGAAACAGGCTCCAGTTGCCATCAGCTCTTCCATGAATCCAGTTTTGAGTTGGTCTTCATGTGAAGTGGGTGATGTGAATTTATATGATACTGTCACCTCCTTCTGCACAGTGACCTGGTGCCAGTGTGACCTTGAAGTCCTGAAAACCACTTCATTGCTTTAGACAGAATTGCTGTAACATGACTGCACTGTGGATTTTAAAGGGCACTTTGACAGTATTTAGATGTATGAATATCTAAATGTTATATTGTAAATGTTCTTCTGATGTTTATATGTTGTTTCTTCTGCCTCCAGACCACTGCCTGTACCAAAACTGCCTCCTGGGGAGCAGTCTGAGAGCGATGAGGACACTGAATACATGTCACCATCCTCTCTCCCTGTGGTGCCTCCAGGTCCTGCTGTACAAAAACCAGAGATCAAAATGCCTTTGGAAGTGACTCAGAGTTTACGGTGAGGTTCTGTGTGTCTGTCACAGCTCCGGGACAGCACGTTTGGGCAGCAGGGTGGGGATTTTGCTTGCTTGGTTCTCTGAATTCCCCCAGTGATGTTCACCAGATCTAGGCTAAAATAGCCGTAAAGGAATTTTTTGCAGAGTCCTTGCACAGCATTAAAGGAGTCGGATAACCCCTTCCCCCTCTCCCTGCTAATAACCTCTTGAGGGCAGAAACAACTGAAATTCAAAACTCAAAATGCAGTGTTTTGGTGGTATCAGTTGATCTATTTTGAGCTGAGATGCTGCACTGCAATAGACGTTATTAGAGCATTTTTCTGGAACAAATATGTCACAGAAGAGGGGTGATTTCACTTTGAAACAAAATCTGTGCAGAATGTCAGTCACAGAGACGAGGTGGAGGTGGTGGCCACTGTCTCTGGTGCCAAGGGCAACGTGTTCTCTCCCTCAGAGTTTTGGACTGTGAGCAGCAGCCAGAGGGTTCCATGTATGAAGCAATGTACAACATTCACTCCCAAGCAGCATCCTCTGCTTTCGAGCCTGTCAACACTTCTGGTGAGTGGGTGTGCTAACAAACAACTGAGAAACTGGGGCACAATGGATTGATCCCAGTTGGAACAGCGTTTTCAGCTGAACAGAGTAACATTTGCTTTTGTTGTTAAAATAGCTGTGGAAATATCTGGGTCTCTGTACTGCATCTATCAAGTATTTTTAACCTAATGCTCCCTTCTGGAAAGAGCTTCCATTGAAGGTGTGGTTTTAGCAGCAAAACCTTGAGTTCTGTGTCCTGTCAGTGGTTTTGGGGGGTGTGGGGGAACAGAGTCTGCTTGGGAGACTCCGAGTCCCAGAGCTCAGGATGTGCCTCCCGTTCCAGATGAAGGGGATCTGGCAGCAGCCACTGCCAGCAACGGCCCTGAAGAGTCAGAAAATGAAGAGGATGGTTATGACATCCCCAAGCCACCACTCCCAGTTGCCATTGCTCGTCGCACACTGTCCGATATCTCCAATGCCACTCCTGCCTTCAGCCGAATGTCCTTGGAAAACGACCCTGGGACAGGTTAGAGGGCACCTCTGGCTTTCTCTGCGTGTTTGAAACTCGTGTCACTCGCTCGAGGTTTTGGGTGTAAGCTGTAAAATCAGGTTTACAAGGCAGAATCACACTCACTCTTGGGTGTTTGGTTTGATTTACAGCTTGGAATACACTGCCTTGGTCATTTAATCACTGAGCTAGAAAATCACTTTGAAATCACAATTAGAAAAACCTTTCCTGAGCTTAAGGAATATTCCTTAGGCCACTGTGCTTTTGTACCAGGGTGTACCAAGGCAACCAACCCTGGAAGTGTCCAAAGCCACACTGGACAGGGCTTGGAGCAAGTGGAAGGTGTCCCTGCCTATGGAACGAGATGAGCTTTAAGATCCCTTCCAACCCAAACCGTTGTGTGACTCTATCCCTGTTCCAGGTGGAAGATGCCAGTGCTGGCCCTGCACAGCCTGTGCCTCAGTGCCTGCAGATGGCACAAGTGTTCTGTCTGATGCTCTCAGTTCCTCTGAGCAGGGACCCAGTGGCTCAGCAAGGTCAGCTTTTTGTCCCCCGGGAGTAGGGGACATCGTGTCCTTCTGGCTGCAAGGCACATTCTCAGAGGGGAAAAAACTAAAGCCTCATTTCTCCAGGAGCTTTTCTGAATAATGCATGACTTATTCCCTACAACTGCCCAGCAACTCTTAAGGAAGCTCTGAAAAACTTCCTGTTGGGGGGCTTTCAGCATGTTTGAACATGCTGGGGATTTGCCAAGGAAGAGGAATGATTTTCTTGTTCCTTCTGGAGGCAGAGCCTCCTGTACCCAGAACCACCTACCCCAGTGAGACTTCTGTTCATTTGCTTCATCATTCTCCTTCCCTGAGCCTCTGTCCTTCAGCAGAGGAGAGTTTCCTAGTGCAGAGAAGTTCATTAGCCTTTTGCCACTCCTCCCTGCCTCCCTTTTTGAGCCTGGCACTGTGTCTGGAGAACGTGGCTGAAAGGGATGAGGAGGGACAGAGAGGGAGTCACATCCCCCTCCCAGATGAAGTACTGAGCTTAATCACTGACACTTCTTTGTTTTGACAACCCTGAAATAACAGTGCTGTTGTCCTGCCTTGGTGTTAGGAGCTCTGCTAATGGAAAATGTGGGAATGCTGATTGTTGCTGCTGTGGGAAGCACAGGCACTGTGCAAGCAAGCCTGAGCAGTGTGGGATACATCTTGGCAGATTTATGTTCTCGTGCCTTGTGCCCTGCAGTTTGGTTTATTAATCATTTACCAAAAAAGCTGTCTTGGTAGTTGTCCTTTCAGATTGACCTGTGGTCTCTGAAATTTGATCCAGTTCAAGCTGAAACAGCTATTTCTCAAAAGGCACTTCAGGGGAGAGGAGTGGGCAGACCTTTTTCTTACATGTACAAAAGGCTTTTTATGTGTGAGAAGCTTGTCCTGTGAACATTAGTGAGCTGAACTGCCTTGTGGTTAGTGAGGAAGGCTCAGGGAATTTGTTTCCTGAAGAGCCTTCTCTATCTTAGTGCTTTTGGTGCAAGTTTTTTCAGAAAAGCCCCACAATGGTGCCTCTCTGAGCAGGGCTACAGTGCCCACTCTTAAAAAGGGATTGCTGGGACTTGTCTGTTGTGCTGCTGGAAAACTCCAGAGAATGCCCTGAGGAGTTTTTCCAGAAGAGAAATAAGACTTTCTCTAAGGTGATGTCAGATATCCACGCAGAAAAGCTTCCTGTGATTGGCAATAAATGCTTTCTGCAGCGATACAGGAGGTCAGAACGCCAAAATTACCACATTAACACATTAAGCAACGTGATTTTTGCCTTGGAGAGTTTGGTGACTCGTTTGGTTTATTGGCTCTTCTTTTCTCTTCCCAGAAGGGCATGATGTGGCTGCTGGGCACTGCCTCATCTGAATGACTAAGGGAAAGGCAGAACAGGCTGAGCTTATTGATCTGCCCTGGCTGCAGCCGTTGGGCAGGGTGAGCTCCAGCAGGGGAACAGGAGAACATTCAGCTGCTGACCCTTCAGAGAGCATAATTCAGTCACTGGAGCATTTGTGGTGGCTGAGCTGTGACTGATAGAGCTGGCTTTGTGCACACCCTCCCTTGGCACTCTGCAGCGTGCACAGCAGGTCTGAGAGGAGAGATCAGCCCAGCTGGGGGGGTTCTGTCTCATTCCAGAAGGAAATGGGATGTTGGATAAAGAGTTGCATATTCTGTCACTTTTTTTCCCAGCAAATCTCTGCTGCTTATTCTAAGGCTGATATCTGAGCTCTGCTCACCCACATTGAACCCATGACATTTTTTTCTATTTATGTGGTCTTATCTAAATAAATGAGCCTGATATTTTGCTGATCAAAAACATCTCCACGTAGCAGGTTTTGCACACAAGAGGGGAAGCTGAGCTGATTGGAAGGAAGGATGAGCTGGTTGGGCACTGGAAATGGATACTCTCAGACACATGGTGTGACTCCTGGGGATGGTCCTGTGAAGGGCTAAGGATTGGACTCGATGATCCTTGTGGGTCCCTTCCAGCTCAGCGTATTCTGGGATTCCATGAACTGGTTGGAAGGAAGGCTGAGCTGGTTGGAGAAAGCGCCAGAGCTCAGCGACAGGTTTTTTGAAGTGCCCATTTATCAGCCTAATGTCATTCCCTCTTTGTTCCAGGCCAAAATTACATGTCCTTGTTTCAAGTGCTGCCTTCATTTCTCCTTCCAGGTTTTTCAGACGGCTCCCAAGTTCCGGAGAGGCCGCCAAAGCCGCTGCCCCGGCGGATAAATTCCGAGCGGAAAGCCGGGAGCTGCCAAGCAGGAGGAGCCAGCAGTGGGGCCAGCTCATCCCTGCAGCTCTCCAGCGAGATCGAGAACCTCATGAGCCAAGGCTACTCATATCAGGACATTCAGAAAGCCCTGGTCATTGCACATAACAATATTGAGATGGCCAAGAATATTCTCCGGGAGTTCGTCTCCATTTCCTCCCCTGCTCACGTGGCCACATAGCACAGGACACCTCCACACCTACAACTTCTGTGGACCAACTGCCTGGGCAGCTGTGGCCCAGCTGTGCACCAAAGGGGAAGGGGGTTCCTTTAGAGACTTCGTGCTGAGGTCAGTCCTGCCTCTCAAAGAGAATCAGTTGTCAGGTTTTTGTGGTTCCAGATTTCAAAGCAGAGGAATGAAATGGAGCAGAGTGGTGTTTTATACAGTGTAATGTCTTGGAGTCCTTTACCCCTACCTCTTGTCTGGGAGAACAGATTTATTTCCAGGGTGTTGGTGGAGAAAAGTGTCGTGACAAGGGACCCCCGAGCCCATGCCCTGGAGGCTGTTGGGGGAGTGTTTTGTGCTGTGAATTTTAAGTGAATGCTCAGAGAAACAAAGAGTCTCGAGGTCGGTGTGGTGTGTCCTGTGGTTCATGGTACTAGGTTTGGATCTGTTCGCTGCTGTGTGTCTGGCTCAGGCTTTTTAGAGCAGCTGGGAGGTCACTTTCTGCTGGGAATAAATAGGAGACCTTGGAAGAATCGTTTGATTGCTTCCTCTTTGCCACGGCGTGTCCCTCTTGCCTGTACTAACAGCAGTTACTGCTTTTGATTCCAGCCCTCCCTTGCTGTGTGGAGATAGCAGGAGCAGCTCCTGTCAGGGGTTTTGATCCTGGCAGTGCTGGGAGTTGGATTTCCCTCCTGTGTGTGCCCTCTTGCAGCACTGGCAGCACCAGATTCCAGGCAGCTGGAAGTGCCAGGAGTTTGGCGTGTTTTGGAGGGATGGGAAGACTTTGAGGGAGAGCAAAGAACTGGCTGCTGCTTCTCCTCCTTTTTTTTTAGCCTTGAGCATTTTGTGCTTCAGTGCTCAAACTTGACTGTGGCCCTGCTGGGCTCGAGCAGCTGTCACCAGACACTCTTTCCTAGGAATGTTGCACCTGGTGAATATGATGTTTTATTTATCTTAATTGCATGGTGGCTGTTGCAGACTTAGTGGCCTTCACTCACATTCCATCACCTCCTTCAGAGAGCTTTTGCAGGAGCCATCTTCGTGCCAGGGTGTGTTGTGGAATTGGTAGATGCAGCTGATGTGTTTGTTGGGTATCTCACCTGCTTTGCAGTAAAAGAAATTGCAGCAGTTCCTCCTGCATGGCTGTCCAAAAAACGACACGGGGGGGCTCTTCTTTCCATTCCCATTGCTCTCAAGGTATTGCCAGATCTCGTGTTCAAACAGACCTGGGCAAATTCTGTGTTTGTAAAATGATCACGTGGCTTTAAAGGTCAGAACTCAGCTGTTACATTGGAAAAACCTGACCTGCAGACTCAGCTACTTAACTCTGTTCATGCAGGAGGAGTGGATGGTTCCTCTGGAGAGGCTTTAAGTCAAGGAGGCTCACACAGATCCCAGCTGACAGACTGTGCACACAGAGAGGCCCTTGGCCTTTGGAGCGTGTCCAGCATTATTTGCATCTCTCCCAGGTCAGCAGTGGTCAGTAGGCAAAGGGCTGCAACTTGGAATATTGCTGGAGTGATTCTGGCACTTGGATGCAGTTTGGCCTTTTGAAGAATCCAGAGGCTGGGCCCAGATCTCAGCCAAACGGCTGCAGTTGGCAGAGAGGAGTTAACAAGTGTTTGCAGAGGGAATTGAGCATAAAATGTTTTTTTTTTATTAAAGTGGAGGTTTCTCCGTGGACCTGCAGCTTTGTGAATCGATGCAGTGGGTTCCAGGCAGTTTGAACTGTCTCTCTTTACTCCCCTCCTTTCTTGTAGTGAAGAGAACATTCTCAGAAACCGTAAGGGGATCTCCTGCAGCACTTGGAGGCCACCAGCACTTGCTATTTCGGGGCCAGGGCTGGGAGTTGCCAGTGCAGCAGCCTGGGGAAGTTGATGTCGTGGGCACAGGGCTGTGCAGGGCACAGAGGGGTCAGGCACAGCCCCGAGCTGGGGCCCCGGGGAAGCTGCTGAGTTGTGTCAGTGCCTCTTGCACTCGAGGAGCTTCCTCCTGTGCCCACTTCCTCTGCCAGTGTGGCTGTGGGAGCTGCTGGAGGAGCAGTTCCAGTGCTGGTGCTGCTGTTGTGTCACGCTGGGGAGCCTGAGCAGCCTGACAGTTCCTTGTCTGTCCTGGAGATCCAGGGAAACCCTTCTGTGAGGGAGTGCTGTGTTTGCTTTCCCTCCTTCTCACGCTCCCCCCAGTGCTGCCACCCAGCTCCTGTGGGTTTGGAGCCACTTTGTGTCTGCCCTGCTGTGTGAACTCAGTGCCAGTGTGTCCAAGGGGGACATGTGACTCTTGCCACTGCCCAGGCTGTGCCAGAGCCCAGTCCAGCCAGCTCCAAAGCCTTAACTCTTGTCTTGCACAGTGTGTGTGCTCAGACTAGTGATGCCCTGTCCCTTCATGGCAGGCTGGTTGTTAATGTTCCATTAACTCCTGCCTGGCAGAGCTGCTCCAGGCCTGTCTTTGGGGTTTATGTGCCAAGAGAGACCTTCCTCTGGGTGTTGTTCTGGGTGTTAGAGATTAGAGAGGGCAATCTTTGTGGCATGTATCACTGATTTTTCTGCATGTGTCCTTTCTGTGCACTGTTTTGTGTCTCAAGCTGATTTAGGAAACTTTTAAGTCTTGGCTTTTCTTCCTTAGACATGTAAGGATTTGCTGATTCCACGGAGTGCAGCCATGCCTTGTGGCTGTGCTCTGCCAGCTCAGTCCAGGCACTGCACAGTGCATTATTCCTGGGGGTTTTTTTTCAGCCCAAGATTGATTGCTCTTCTTTCCCTTCACCTCCTTGCTCTTTATCCTTAAAAAAAATCAACTTCCTGACGCTCCTTTAAAAAAGAAAACCAACCCAAATGTCTAGTGCCTTTCTCGAGGGAATGCTGCACCCCCAGGCTGGACCCAGGAAAACCCATCCCTGGGGGAAAACCAAGAGCTGGACGAGCTGCAAAGCCGCCTTTGAGCGTGAAATTGCTTTGAAAGGGGTGAGAAGGAGGAGCAGGAGAGCTGGGCAGCCGTCACTTCAACCGTGCCACTGTGTTCTGTAGCATTTCAGCTGGGGGTGGGTGACGTGCCCGGGCCGGTGCTGTGCCAGGACAGGAGGATTCAGGGCAGGAATCCCGAATATTTCCCTCTAAACCCCCCCGTGTGCATGTCCTTCCCCCTGGGGAGCCCGAGCACAGCATGCTGCTCCCTGCACTAGGCTGAGGACTTACTGTAGCTAATCCTGAGGCAGGGTCATTACTGTAAAGGGGGTTGGGTTGGGTTTTGTTCTGGTTTTTTTTTTTTTTTTTTTTTTTTTAATTATTTAATTATTATTTTTATTTTATTTTTCAATCG